TTCTCTTATAAATTAATTCAAAATGTTAGTTAAATAACAAAATTAATTTGGCACAATGAATTATTTGAAATTTGAGCGTAACGGTAAATTCGTTTGAAAGGATTTGTTCCTTCCGAAAAGTCGTTACTTTTCCCAAACGGTAATCCTTCCGAAAAAACGTTACTTTTCCCAAAGGACACAATGTTCTGGAAAAAAAATGGCTATAAATAAGAGGTCTTTTTCCGTTTTTCAAACACTGAAATTTCTTCCTCTCTGCATACATTTTCTTACATCTTCATACATTTTCTCTCATAAATAAAATTGTCGATCGACTGAGTCTGTGTGTGCTCTTGTTGCTGTTCTTGCGTTCGCTGAAGTTATTGAAGTTTGAGGTACCGCTACTTCTTTAACAGGTTAATCCGTTTTATCTTGGGAGGAATTAATCTGCAACCTCGGGTACAGTGAGGGGATAAAATTTTTAAGGAAACACAGTGGTTTCTATGGACTTGGATTAAAAATCATTTTATCTATTTTCATCTTTTGCTGTTTCTGTATTTTTGACTAACCTGAATATAGGAGATAACAATCTTAAGAAATTTACAGTTTCAGTATTTGAGGTTTCTGGAGATTAAAACCTTTATGGTTTTCTACTATGTTTGAGTTTTTAAAATTCATTCGATTAACGATTGAAAGAACATAAAAACTTTATCGTTAAATCAGAAACAGTCTGTGTAAGGATTTATTCTTTACTGTTAGTATTTCACATACTAAAATTGTCTGCCATTTGTGACAGAAAAATGACTAATTCAGGTCAAGTAAATGTTGGAACAGTAAGTGCAACAACATCGGTTGCACACAATCATTCAACTGCTGCCTAGCACCGACTGAGAAACCTGCAAAGTTTTTTGGTGTCGACTTCAAGAGATGGCAGAAAAAGATGTTCTTCTATCTGACTACGTTGAGTCTGCAGAGGTTCATTAATGAGAACGTTCTTGTTATGTCGGATGAAACTCCACCTGAAGAACGATTCTTGGTAACAGAAGCATGGACACATTCTA